GCAAACAACACACGTCTGGAATAAGGTAAGCCATTTTTATTGAGAATTTTCACTTTTAACTACCTCCATGGATATCTTGTAGAAAATCCCATATAAACCCTTATAATTCGATGCCATATTGTGTTGCTTGTGTGGTTCATAGAGAGAGCTTGGGCTGCCTGTGCTTGAAACAAAGACGAAGAAGTCAAGTGTCAAAATCATGGGGGTTTTCTTCATATATTTAACGACTTAACAGTACATCAACACCGTTTACGCTGTTTAACTAAGCATTCTTACCAGATCTTTGTCCAGGTGAAACAATTTGCCAGGCTCGCACTCGAGGGAACGGCGCGCGTGACTGAACTCGCGATTTGACCTGCCCCAGCCCAAACACCCGGACAACCCACAAGGCACATCGCGCTCCATGCTCGAGGTCACGCACGCATAACCTGAGTATCAGGCTTTTCTTAGCAAGAGCGCACGCACTATTTGCGTTTGACGATTACACTGCAAATAAACTCCGTATTCTAAGGTGAGGTGAAAATACCTCACCGAAAAAAACAGAAGAAGTTTTTGCAGTCTATAGAACTAGAGACAGAGTAAAATTAAGCACGGCTGAAACAAGTTCAAAACGTTATGCAACAACAATATGATAGAGATAAAACTAAAAGTCAAAATGCAACCGTGGACAGCTGTTTCGACCTGGTTGAGTCTAGTAATCAAATCAGCCCGGTGTAGCAGCAAAAACAAAACAAAACAAAAAGCAAACAAACAAACAACAACAACCCACTCGAAGGCCGATTATCTACTAAATGTCATCGAATTGTAATCAACATGTCAAGATGCCACTTTTCACAAAGTAGACAAACAAGTGTCGCGGAGCCACCTAAAATTTCCGAAAAGAAGAGACCCTGAATCCCTTTCCACATTTTTATTTCAAACTTGACGAATAATTGGATTTAATTACCAAATTTTGTAATGTTAGGTTTAATTTTAGCTTGAAGTTTTTATATAAACTCCCGAGACCCCAATTTTGTATTTTATTTTTATTTTCTTTTTCACTATAGCTCCAACGCTGGAAAGAATTACACAAAAGAGAGAAGAAATACAGATATGTTTATTGAACAGTACATGCATCTTTGGCAATAAATGCTCACAATAAAATCTAAAGATTTCACGCAGTTAATATCAGGTTAACAAAAAAATCACTTCCACGAGTCAGTAAATATCATATTCTAAATTTAAACAACCTCAAGATTAATATATATTACGTGTAATATTTAAAAACAACTGATTTCCCAAATATACTTCACATTTCTAAGAAAATAGTTTATAACTCTGATTGCCTAAAAACGTTACTTTATAACTTAAAATGCTTAAAATATTTCAACGGCAGCAGTTACATATAGGCCGTTTTAAATAAAGGTAACATTACTGGTTAATGTGTTGCTTTCGCTTTGGTTTGTATGCTTTTGTTTTCCTTTGATTATTTTGTCATTTTAAATAGCACAATCCAGTGTCAACAAGTGTCGTTTTTGACCGAAGAATATTCGTAAGTCCGCGATGACTGAAGACGTTTATCGACCAATAAGTGTGCTTCTCGGCTACCACGCACATTGTCTAGTCACTGAGCTTGAACGCCACGTTGTTAAGAAACTACTCTTACAACACATGCCGACCTGGGCTCAATCGATATTTTCTCGGAAATAACCAAGGAACGGCACTTGATTCTGGACTAACTGTGCCTATTAGTTAACGAGTTTCGCAGAAAGTGAATAAGAATAACGAATCTAAACTATAAATTCATCTTACACTTGAAAGTTATCAATATGCGACACCATTTCTGATACGCGCAAGGAATATTATGAAGATATGAAATGGTAAATTTTGGTACATTTTCAATAGCGTTGCCTAATTTCTTAAATTTAACTGCCGTTTTTCTTTTTTACACTTTTCTAGCAATGGAAAAACCTTATAACCATACAACGAAATGGATTTCATCAAGCTTCTTGCCTGATCGTGATCCATTTTGATCTAGATATTATTCCACGATTAGGATGAAAATTTACAGTTATAAGGGATTTTTAGAAATACGCAGCCTTTAAAACGTTCTTTTCATTATCTGGCACCTTGTCCAGTCACTGCTATCTTTAAGTGTCTTTATGATCAAACCTTTATCTATTTGATTTGCGGGCTAACACCGTTTCTTGCTGCTGAATGTCATTGTTTATGGGCGCCTGTATAGGATGATGTAAGCACTCCAAGTCAGTCAGAGCTTGTCTTTTTGTCTCCACAATACTGTGCGCGAAGAATCAAATCTCGGCCCAGGCTCTTCGGAGCTGTACAAGTGAAGCTGGTGACCTAGGTCTGAACATACCATGCAAGGAGTGCGCCATGGGGCATAGCACTGTCGCGCGCGCAATTTCCTTGAAGGTGGACCCATCAAGAATGAGCAAGAAGGACCGCTTTCCACGTACACCTACCACGGAGGATATGATGACTCCGTCGTCTTCGGTTTCAGCACCTGGTGCTGCTACAAACACAGGCTCGGATGGGTAGCAGTGGGGTTCATGCCAAGTCTTGGCCTCTTTCCCCAGAACGTCCACCTTGATTAGCTGGTTCAGGAAGTCTCCACGCCTGTGTGGACCCACGCCATACATGTACCGGTAAGGCTTGCCATTCGAGAAGTTGTAGTTGATCTGGGGCAGCTCCACACCATAGTACAGCACCTTGTAGTCGCGGCCGTCCGAGTAGCTGGGTAACCTCTGCGAGCACTTGGAGAATGGAGTGGTAGGAATAGGCAGTCGGTAACGACGGAGGGCGGGATCAGGGAAGCCCTTGCTCACTTCGTTCTCTGGCTTAGTGCGCAGGTGATGGAGGTAGTACTGATACACGATGCGCGCATCAGGGTAACAGCACACATCCATGATGATGTCGGTTTCTGTTTCGTAGGCGTTCACGTGATGGAAAGAGAAGAAGTTCTCTGTTTTGTATTGGGCGACCACTTTTCCCGTCTTGCGCTCGATAACGTAAAAACGCGACGGCTGTTTGTTGTCCCACTTCATGCACTCGTGGAAAGAACGCCCCTTGATCTTCATGGTGAGCAGCGCCCAGACATTCACAACGAAGGGGTTCTCGATGAACACGAAGTAGTTGGGCGTCATGGCGAAGCTGTGGTAGTAACAGAGACGATTTTTCGGGACAAACGTAGACATGACGTTGACCCCTTGAAGCGGGTGTGGAGGGCTGTCTCCTGGTGTTGATGGCCGCGGCGGAACTTGTGTTATGTTGTAACGCGTTCCTTTCTTGAGCGACACAGCCACGTTGTACACGTTTCCCTCTTCGTCCTCGTGGGGATGTGGTGTCATGGAGAACATTCGCACGGGCCCTGCGAGAAGAATGAAAGGAAATGTTAAAAAGCGAGGCACAACAACAGAAGACCTAAAATTGCATTAGAAATACTCTCCACCACATCAACCACAGCGCTGTCTAAATGTTCGAATTAGAGCCTACCACTTGTAGCTTGCACTAGCGACGCAGACGCAGGTAAAAGCGCGTGCACAAGAGTCTCTACGAACACAGAGAAGAGAAGGCCAAATTTTCTGTTTTGCTTCGTAAGCTCGATTCCAGACAAACTATTGAGGTACAAGCAAAATCCAAGCTTAAATTAACCCATCCCAAACTCTACTAGATAACAATTAAAACGGTAATTATAAGCGCGATGCAGCAAAAAAGGTGTAGTAAGTACCGCGTAGCAAGGGCTTACAAAAAGCAAGAGCTAATAAGGCTAGAGCTAATAAGATTGTGCAAATGCGTCTCAGTAATTAAGCCAACTTTAAACTTTCATCTCATCCTCGGATCGTTTGCCGTCAGGAAATGTTATGGTAAAAGAAAATCCGCTTAGTCAAAAAGACGACTAAACGGAACATGCATGATGGAGGCTGTTTGCAAACTGGTTGAGATGGGTATGGGTATAAAGTATACTGAAAAAACATTAAAGTATTCATCAAGGGATGAGTTTATTTATAAAACAAATCTTCAGAGAAGACCATGAAAGAAGTATGACAAACGGTGTCTGAGAGGATTGATACTCTAAGCTTTGATCGGAGTTGAAAGGATTAGTAGTTTAATACTATGTCACTTTGTTGTGATTTCTAGTTAAAATTACTTCCGTTGCACGGACGGAAAACGATAGTTGAGAGCAAGGGTTTTAAGGCTTAACGAATTGCTTATTTTATGTTATTTTTTAACAGCTTTTTTGTATCTTAAGATTTAAGGAATGATCATATGACCTGTAGAAATTCATTGAAACTCACTGATTTATACTGATTTTTTTTTTCGGTACTTTTTTCTTGTTGATGGAAGAGCCATACTTTCCATGGCAGTCAAAGCAGCCGCACTTTTAAATCTTTAGCTTCATTATTGAGGTCTTTATCCATTGCACATCATTGAGATTTTCAGATAACTGAATTGCTTCCGTCGCAAGGAAGCAAAGAGATAACTGACAGCAAGCATGAAAGATGCTAATCTTATTGTTTTTATCGGTTCATTGCAGGGTATGATCAGGACACAGAAAATTCATTGAGAGCTCATAAGACAACTTTCAGTTCAGTTACCATCTGTTGCAAGATCAAATCCTTATCTCAGCTAAGTGACGTTACTGGGGTCTCCAAGTCAAGGCTTTCTTAGACTGTAATAAGTACACAACAGAAACAATTATCGTCTTTTTTCGTTTAAAATAAAGCCATTTCCGTCACTATAGTCTACGTGTCTGAGGGCCTCTGAAGTCATCCCCTTGAAACTCCCCATCACTGGCCGAGGGCTATTTCACGATCACACACCGACTTCTTAAGTCTGGGAACTGATTTTTATCAAGGGTTCTTTGAGGAGCTGGAAGCCAATAAGCTTTTAAGTTAGCTCATTAACAATACAGGAAACGTGAGCTTAATGAACTTTCAACTGTGTCATGTAATACCCTCGAGGGTAACACAAATTCCTTTCGATGTAATCGATTTCCGTACAAAACGGTCCTATCACACTGACTAAATCCTTTTAAATCTGCAAGAGGGCTTTCTNAAGGTGTAGTAAGTACCGCGTAGCAAGGGCTTACAAAAAGCAAGAGCTAATAAGGCTAGAGCTAATAAGATTGTGCAAATGCGTCTCAGTAATTAAGCCAACTTTAAACTTTCATCTCATCCTCGGATCGTTTGCCGTCAGGAAATGTTATGGTAAAAGAAAATCCGCTTAGTCAAAAAGACGACTAAACGGAACATGCATGATGGAGGCTGTTTGCAAACTGGTTGAGATGGGTATGGGTATAAAGTATACTGAAAAAACATTAAAGTATTCATCAAGGGATGAGTTTATTTATAAAACAAATCTTCAGAGAAGACCATGAAAGAAGTATGACAAACGGTGTCTGAGAGGATTGATACTCTAAGCTTTGATCGGAGTTGAAAGGATTAGTAGTTTAATACTATGTCACTTTGTTGTGATTTCTAGTTAAAATTACTTCCGTTGCACGGACGGAAAACGATAGTTGAGAGCAAGGGTTTTAAGGCTTAACGAATTGCTTATTTTATGTTATTTTTTAACAGCTTTTTTGTATCTTAAGATTTAAGGAATGATCATATGACCTGTAGAAATTCATTGAAACTCACTGATTTATACTGATTTTTTTTTTTCGGTACTTTTTTCTTGTTGATGGAAGAGCCATACTTTCCATGGCAGTCAAAGCAGCCGCACTTTTAAATCTTTAGCTTCATTATTGAGGTCTTTATCCATTGCACATCATTGAGATTTTCAGATAACTGAATTGCTTCCGTCGCAAGGAAGCAAAGAGATAACTGACAGCAAGCATGAAAGATGCTAATCTTATTGTTTTTATCGGTTCATTGCAGGGTATGATCAGGACACAGAAAATTCATTGAGAGCTCATAAGACAACTTTCAGTTCAGTTACCATCTGTTGCAAGATCAAATCCTTATCTCAGCTAAGTGACGTTACTGGGGTCTCCAAGTCAAGGCTTTCTTAGACTGTAATAAGTACACAACAGAAACAATTATCGTCTTTTTTCGTTTAAAATAAAGCCATTTCCGTCACTATAGTCTACGTGTCTGAGGGCCTCTGAAGTCATCCCCTTGAAACTCCCCATCACTGGCCGAGGGCTATTTCACGATCACACACCGACTTCTTAAGTCTGGGAACTGATTTTTATCAAGGGTTCTTTGAGGAGCTGGAAGCCAATAAGCTTTTAAGTTAGCTCATTAACAATACAGGAAACGTGAGCTTAATGAACTTTCAACTGTGTCATGTAATACCCTCGAGGGTAACACAAATTCCTTTCGATGTAATCGATTTCCGTACAAAACGGTCCTATCACACTGACTAAATCCTTTTAAATCTGCAAGAGGGCTTTCTGGAGCACAGCACGCGGTCAAGTTTGTAAAGCTCTGGCAATCATGTTTACACAACATTAATATTATATGATTTTTTGCTTGTTGTGCATTTATTTGTTGCTTTGTTTGTTTGTTTTTATGCAACTATTTCCAGGCTTTCTGTTTTACTGTGTTGCCGCTTTCTTCCAATGTTCACTTTGCTTTTTCTCTCCAATATCTTTATCATTGTTTGCAAGGATTTCAACATCAGAAGTTGATCTTCGTTATCTAAGCCCTTGGTGGAAAAAAAGAAACTTGCTCAGGCATTTAAAAGAGATGTTGCGTCACTTTTTGATTGCCACAGAACTTAAATAATTTCATGCATTCTTCCGATGTTTCATTACGTAATTTCTTATGAATCTTAATTAAGCAGTTTAGAAGAAAGAGGACACTAAAAATGAATTTTGTCCAAGCTACTCCACACATACATGAGCTTAGTGAAGAGATTGGCATCTTGGAATAATTAAAAAGAAATTTAAAAAACCTGATTTTTTATATTTTATAACAACCTTAGAGATTTGTCAAAGCTACTGACTTTTCGCATGTCATCTCTTCATCAAACAAAGCACACTTCAACAATTAATTGAACAAGTTGAAACGTGCCAGTGAAACACAATCACGCACAGGAACTAGGAACTTCCTGCTGCTAAACCAAGAGAACTTTTTGCCAACTCAAACATGCCTGATAACAATTATGCAATTATCACCAGCTCCAAGTTGACAGATGTTTAATGAATCATGATGATGAATTCCTTTTGGATTCATTGCAAAAGTTTTTACCTTCCCGTTTGTTCTGTTCCTCTTTCATTCGAAAATATTTTCATTCATTACCCTTCTCCGATCGGTAAAGTTTGAAAAACTTGCGTGAAAAATGAGTGCAATTATCCCACGATATACCTGCTCTAGGAAACCGGTTAAACAGGATGATAGGTGTACAGCGTGCAGCACAAAACACAGTTAATGAATGTGTGGTTCTCTTCTTCCAAGAAGAGAGTTGGAAAATCAATGAATTTCATTTTAGACATTAAGTTTGAATGACTGTGGTGTATTTTTCATTCGATATTTGTATCTGACTCTCCCCTTAGGCTCGCCGGTGTTGGTACAACGTTCTCTTTTTTCAGCCAGTGATACGCAAATGCTCACTGATTCGATATCAATTTGCTCACGTGCCTCGGCCCATGTCTGTTATATATTAAGTAAACCGAGGAGCATTTCCAAGGGAAGCCCAGCGACCGCCTTTTCACCGGCTCCGAAGATTAGCGAGTGTTTTTAATGCGCCCACTCCGCAATTAAGCTAATTTCTCGAGAAATTTTGACAAATCTCCACCGGAAGACAAACAAATCTATAGCCTTATGCTCACATGCCAGATAAAAATCTTCGCTGATAAGCCAGGTTATTAAAACGAAGCTCATTCAAGGCAAACACTCAACCCTTGGTGTTCTTCCGGTCAAAAATATTTATATAAGTAAACAAAACTCCGCTGAAAACCTGATTAGCCTATTGTTTTCAGTGTTAAATGCGATTGCATTTGTTTATTTTCCTACTTTGGTTATCCAGTTATTGAAATTTTCTCAAGGGAATCTTGCTTCTGTAAGTCAGTTCCACTGTCGGATTGGACTCGTGAGTGACAGTGCAAGCAGAACCCCTTCATAAGCTATCTTTATTAACGAAACACTTCGCGCAGACGAGCACGAACTCTTTCCACCACAGACCACAGAACATGGATAATCTTTCCGCATTTCACCTGTAGCCGTGCACGACTTATAAACTCGACAAGGGACTGTTGAAATATTAAGTACATGGCTACAATTTGCACGATGAAAACCCATACTTATTGCCCTGGCCACAAGTCTTCACTGAAGCACTATAAAAGACGATAAAAGGGCAAATTCACGCTTAAACAGGGCGGCCAGAAGGGGATTTCTGGAGAAAGAAAGCAGGCGGCAGGCTGGAACAAGGAGTAAGGAGATATAGTTTACAACTTATTGGCTTTTGACGATATCTTTTGAAAGACCTCTGACCTACCAGATGAAATGAAACAACATTATCAAATGGTGCGATTAAGCACTACTTAATGACAGATTGGTGCGAAAACGGCCTCATCTAGGCTTTTATGCGGTTCCGTGATTGCCTTTTAGATGTAAACTGAGTAAAATCCACTTAAGTAGACCTGCTCTTTTTCTTTCCCTAGAATGGCTCGAGGTAAAGTGTACTGAAGGATGTGTCAAAATCTGTTAAAAAGCGAAACAAAAACCCCTTTCTTTTACTTGTGTGTGGTCAAAAAAGACACTGAAAGCGAGCATGAAATAGCACGTTGGATCTCTAATTCCGTTCACCAGAGTCCGCGATCTACAATATCTTGTGCTTGTGTCGCACACGAATTCATATCCGCAGCATGCAGTGACTTGATTGAAATGGATACAATGGATGTTATGAAGAGGCCGTGTTCTGGAAATCCCTCCTTAACTCCACATCTAACCCAAGCCCAGCAAACGATATGTTTTGACTAGCTCTACTAAAATAGGATATTTTCATATCTCAAGTTGAAAATCTTCTCCGTTCTCTCGAGATATAAGCTTTTAAAACTTGCTGTTCTTACAATATATTCAGTAAAGCTGCTAAGCATTTTTTTTAGGTAAGTATTCTAGCAATTTATATGTTTGCTCCCGTGTACAGTGTATCTCTTATCTTAGCACCCCACCCTTATTCATATTTAAGCAAGCTGGCTAATGAGTTTATCCTTGGACAAGAGAAATTCAATTTACTTACACATCAATCCAAGGACGAAATGGTGATTCTCTCATTTCCGGAATTCTCTGTGATACTGGACTGAGCAGAGGTCCTTTTCAATTTTGTTTTCAAGAAAAACAGTTTTCAGTTCTTTTTGTATTTGACGAATGCTTGTGTTTATCTAATAACTCAAGAATGCCTTTTTATCAGACTGTTGCAACCAAATATCGTCTTTGTTATCTTCAATACCTTAAACTTGTCAAAACTATTCCTGACCCCAGGAGACCTTCAAAGAAACTCGCATTCTTTAGACCATTCCAATTTAGCTCCAGTTTTGCCAATTGTTGCAGAAAAGAGTCCCTAAAAATATCGATCAAAACTTGAAATAAAATACAAGTACGGCACAATTATCGGACATTCAATTTGTCTCTATTCAAGTGGAGTTGATGAGGTGTGGTTCACGCAGTAAACTAAATGCTTGCTTTTAATCTGAAGTTCTAAGAACTGAACCAGGTGTCAAAGTTGAAAAGTTTTGTCGCTACTGAAAGTGATAAAGGCTTTTTCTGCCGCCCCCTTCCGTGCGAATCTCCTGCGCCAAGGGTAAACCGTTTTTTAACTAATCCAATTTAATTTTTCGAACAGAGACACTGTTGGGTGTGGGCATGGAGGCGTTCCCGGAGGCGTTATCACGGCATCTCTTGTTTTGTTTTTGTTCTAGAGGAATCTTTAACGAAAGCGTAAAGAGAGTCGTAAGGAGACATTCTTACTTTCCTTCCTGTGTGGTGTTTACGTCCGTGGCCGCTTTTCTCCCAGACGTAAATAAACAGACAGAACCCGATACAAAAGTTAAATTTAAACTTCCTTTTTTTCTTCCTCTCGTGGTATAAAAAGAGTATATGTAACAATAGAGATAATCAAAACATACCTGGAAAGTCATTCCTTATGTTGTACTCAGACAAAGCTTGTAAGCTACTCGGGTCAAAACCGATCAAGAACGGAGAATCACTGCTGGCGAAAGTCTGCCCGTTCATCGTAACAACGTTAATGGAGCAGTTATCCGTCCGCTCGGGTGGCACGAAGTAAGAGAAGAAGCGCGCAAAGATGTTCTTGCACGGGTCGGGCGGCAGTGGCGTTCCAAACTCTGCGTACGCGATGCCTCTACGCGCTTCCGCGCGGACGAACGCCTGGCTTCTTAAGTAGCGGCTGCAGTAGGTGACTTTTCCATTTTCCACCTTGAAATTCTGTAGCATACCCAGGCCATCGAACCAGTGCTTGTAGGCTTCTGGTCCGACTTCGTACATAGCAGGCCCATTTCGAAGTAAGGATCCATTGAGCCAAAGGGGAATAACGCCTTCGACCTTGGCTTCCACAGGGCTGACTTGTTCTTTGACTGTTTGATAAAGCTCATCCATTGTGCTTCCGATCTTGAACGAAGTGGACACGTCAAAATACAACTTCAACTGACAGAATTGAAGGCCCTCTCTCTGAATTTATGTCCGTCGACCTCTGCAGAAAACAATAGATTGATGACAGCACTGAATGATATTATATAACGAATGGTATCAGCTTATCGTAGGATGGCGCGCATTCCAAAGAAGGAAACTCCTACCAGTCACGCTTTCCCTATCGCTAAACAACCCAGCATTCGGACGAAATAATTCCTAAACCAGAAAAGAATTAATTCAAATAATGGGTTTTCACAGCGAAAAATTTCACTTAATTAGAGGCATTGGACATCACGACCAGTCACGTTAAGTCAACAAATGAGGAGCAAATATCTGGATTTAAAAAACAAAATTTTGACCCCGACGTTTTTACACAATGAAGACAGATGCAGCGAAGGACAGATTCTGTCATTTCTTGCAATTTTGGCTCCATATTTTCGGTCAATTATGTGTAATATAACTCTAAAATGCTTTTAGCTACACACAAATTAAACTCTGGACTATTGTTTCACTCTGGAAAGTGCTCGATGAAAGAATAATCGTGTCTGTTCATCTGTTACGTCATCTTCGTCTAAGGCGGCGCACTTGTGTTTGGCGTTTGTTGATGAAAACTTGAACGTGTTCGTATTGACGAGAGTCGAAAGTAACGCGGGTGCCTGCCCTTTTGGGAAAGTTTGAAATTCCTGCATAAAAATGCGTGTGGTTGGTTTACAAAGCTAACAGTTTCAGCAGCTGCCAGTCGTTGTCACTGAGATACTATGAGATTCTCTAATCATTTCACAAATTTGCAAAACAGGTGGAAAACAAGTCTCGTATTACTAAACACATAACGATCATATCGCGTGAGTAATGGTTAACCAGCTGATCTGAATAAACATTAAAAAAATAGAAAAGGATTTTACCCCCTTCCACCTTGGCTTTTGCGTAAAAGAGATGTATGAATAGATTTTGTTACATCTGCGTGCAGGAAACATAGTTTTCGCGAAAGTCAAAGTTGATACAAGACGAACGTTGATACATGAACGCACGCTAAATAACGAGTCATTGAAAATCACCCCATTTGCTGACAGAAATGAAATAGAGCAAATCAGGAAAGGCGGAAAGATTCCTCAATCGTTTATCGGGAGCTTTGCAATTAGTTTGTCAAAGCGGGGTGCAAAATCCATTACGCCTACTTTAAATAAGCAGTTGAATTACAGAGTTCCGGTTTTTCTGATGTTCTTGTGTAGTCAAAACTTGAGTCGCTAGTTTCTTCGAGATTAATTAAAATGTTTGCTGTTTAAGGACCTCCAATAAAGCGTAAATTTAGAGTTAAGCCTCGGAATTGTAGAATTGCTACAAATGTGAAGGAACACATGTTCACCAGTTATAGAAGTAACTTCCGATTAGCGATTTGTTTTTTTCTTAATTTTCAAGAGCATAGGAAACGGCCGCATGGTCTTATCTGGACCCTCGGCTCGGTACTCGGAAGCTACTTTGAGCCATGTTCAATGACCGATTCTTTTCGAACATTAATTTATCGTTTGACCTTCCCAACTTAATTCCAATCCCCGCTGACTACCTAAGCAGCAAGTCAACAAGGCGCGTTTTTAACCAGAAGTTCGTTTAGCGAAACTAATATACAGGGGTTAGGTTTTAAGTACCACGTGTGACAAAATGAAAACACTAACTGCACGGGCGCACGAACAGGCTAAATGAAATGCCGCGTGTATTTCCTTTCGTAAGACCCCGTTACCCATTAGCGAGGATTAGCCGGTGCTCAAAATAAATACACAAGTTCGTTTCTAACCTGAGCTACCATGTACTAACTAGTGCATGCTATATTCAAAATTGCCATCGCGAAAGACCCTGTAGACGAAATTTTTATTGGACTCCGTGCTCAGTAGAAAAAAGGTCCTGTTTTCGGCCTGGCCGTGTGAAAGCGCCATAAAAGGCTCTAAGGTCAAGGATTTGGAAAGCAAACGTTCGATGGTAAAACCCTTATTGGACGTACGGACGGACGGACCGGCAAACCCAAAAAGATGAACGACTTGTCTGGGCGGTGGAATATAAAGCGCTAGCAACAAAGCAAACTGGCTAACAAGATACCAAACATGGTCTTACAAGAACTGTGAGCCGGAATTTCCTTCCACATTTTATATATGTTATCCGCAGCTATTTATGGACTAAAGAGAGTAGAACTTAGCTGGAGCTAAAATCAACCCTAAATTCTTACTTAAATCGGATTATAATTTTTTTTAGAATCGCGTTTCCTCAACTTCTGTCAACCGGACAGGGAAATTTTCAGTGAATCTTTGTGGTTTTGAAGCCAGCAATTAGCACGCTTACACAAGCACCCACTCTCACGTGAAAAAAGCGATAACATCAAATAGAGGAAATACGTTTATTGCATCCACAAATGCTCCTTTCACGTGAGTCGCCTGGCACGAGCCTAAACCAGAGACGTAAGAAAGATAAGTCGCCTATCTGACCGCACATTCATTTGAATTCTCTCAATATAAAGGTCGACAATAATTTAATAGTTTGAGTTAGTGAAGTCAGGCTAAAAGATATCCAAAAATGGCCCTGCTTCGTGACGAAAGTGCTCTTTTGTATGTGAAATGATATGATCGTACGTTTATCGCGATCGGAATACGTGACGCGGTATTGTTGGGCGCCATTCGGGTCAACCTGTAGAAGTGTTAATACGTCTAGGTGACGCAGAGCATTGTTAGAATTTCGGGACAGAAAGAACGTCAGTGTCTGCTGCATGAGATCTTGCATGCGACGAGAGGGGAAATTTTAAACATTTTCCCACGCTAGCTGTATCTTGCTCTTTGACATTGAGGAAAACTACAGTAGACGTGGCGCGAATTTACGTAACGACAAACGCTGCGAAGACACATAGTCGGCGGACTGGAATGAAACTAGTCTCTAAGGCAGAAAACAATCATTTTCATTCTCCAAAAGATTCAATATTTGGAAAACATAAAAAGTAAACTTGCATTAACTTGTATTGATACAGCTGGAAGTCTGGCTATTCTTGCAAAAAGGGACCTCCCAGAAAAGTTTATCAGTGATCTATAATAGTGATAGGATTCCAACAACAACAAAAGCAAAAGTGACGAATACAATCAATTTTTTTGAGGTAGAAAATTTCCTATTTTGGTATAAAGACAGTAAAATTATACACAAACAGGAAAAGGTCTAGTTTAAAAAAATATGCACTACGCGTGGTTTCCGAATTGAAGGGGGAATGGGGACTAATGCATGGATTCTACAGAGTAGCTAAATTTTCTTGGTGATTTGACTCAGCACTGCCGTGTTATTGCGTAACTTGACCGATTTGAGGCGAAATAATAGCAACAAGAGTCCTGTGGCGCATGAAAACTGATTTGATCTAAACAAAACTCTACAAAACCGTGATTCAGTTATAAGAAATAAGTCTGTAGTAACTCCACATCAATTTACATACAGCTTTCATAAGAATGTTTAACTTTTCATGGCGAACTCCTTATCTACTTCAGTTTGTACTGTATACTGGTAGTTCCGCGCTCGATTTGTCAAACAACGCAAGCCCTGAAAGAACAAGAAAATAGTTGGAAATAACTTCAAAGCTACTTACGTTATGTGGTGGTGTAGCAAGATCCACCAGAATTTGTTCAGATACTGGATACAGGCCAAATCTTTCTCGCGGATTATATAAGTTATAAAATCCACTTTTGCACGTGTTTTATACCTCCGTCTTCCACCGGAACTCGTTTTCCGCAGTGTCAACTTGTAAACTTTTGTTTGGATTTTGACTCGAATTTCAAAGTTTCGAAGATGAAACAAAGTTTGCAAGAGCGCTGTTCACCTTACCACTCGTCTAAAAATACTAACATGGTGCAAAAAATTGCGCCGCGTTTTAACCGCCCGGCGAAAACAATGTAATCGATTAATCCGTTCCTGTTATTGTGCAGTTTTATCCCATACAAAACATTTAAATTGTTTATGAAATCTGATTGTAGATTCGTCATGACGTTCTTGTAAGTAAGGGTTGAAATTAGGGAGAAGCGGAAAATCCGGAGTAAACAATTTAACTTTACCAAAAAACAAAGACGTGCTAACACGCCTTAGAAATAGCACGTTGTTCGTTAATGAGGTCATCAGGGCCGGATAGCGTTTTATTGAAGCCTGCGTAGCTTGCTTTGTTGATATTAGGCGGTTTTAATGGGGAGTTACTTGTTTTGTCACACACATACAACTTCTCCAAGAGGTTTGGTTTGAAGCCGGGTTTTGACCTAAAATAAAATTTATCTCGCCCTCCATTAATTCAGTTGATCTGCCATTTCCTTGACATGTTTATTTGTATGTGAGAGACCAGTGACCAATTGTTTAGTGTTTTGACAAGTAATAATTGCAGTAAGTGCAACGCAACGCAAATATTTCACTGGTCCCGCCTAACCACTTGGTGAGGGTCAATGGAGATAAATTCAGTTTAATTAATAGAGCTGCCGTTTTGAGGTCTGTAAAATTTACCCAGAAATTTAAATTCAAACTCAGCTGTGTAACATTAGTAAGACATGGCGGTTTCTAAAAGTACCGACTAAAACAGAATAAAATAGCACAAGGAATGCTCAGTTCATGACAACACACACACACACAAACATCCCTGGATTGCAGAGAATTTCTGCCGGAACAAAAAACTAATAAATACACAAATAAAAAGTGTTTCCTTTGTTTAAAAGTAGTCATTTAAAATTTTTGAAAACAGGAACTGAGTGAAACCAAAAGAGGATTAACTCCACATAAGTTCTAATGGTCATTACGAGCACAGCTCTCTATATACTAAAGCTCTCAGTCCGGTCTTGTCGCACTTGGACGAGGATACGCGAACCTCTTATTGGTGAAATAATCCTCCTACCTTTTTACCTACAGCGTGAAATATTAAAAAGTCATAAAAAAAAATGATTTATAAGTTGCTAAACAGAGAAAAGTAAAGGCATAAATTTGTTTCCGGGAGCGACCACACTACGTCGGAGGAATTTCAAAACGCAGCTTTACTTCCACACTGATCTGTCCCGAAAACGGAGCTTTTTCGAAAACGCTCTTCAAACCGGAGGAATTAGAAAACGCCGGCTTTACGTATTCGCGTGGACGGAAAACCTTTTTAAAACGGAACTTTACTAAAACGATGGTGTCACGATAATCATGGGATTTCCTTGATCGAGTTTTCCTCAAACACAAATCCAAAATGACCGCTGATTGTACGTTGCGTTTTCAAATTCCTCCAACGTAGTGTAGACGGAAAATATTTGACGCGTGTTCAAAAGTGAAAGCTCCGTTCTTAATTTTCTCCGGCGTGATGTGGACGGGGCCTCTTTGAAAACTTGACCGCGTGCAGATCACCAAAGAGTTAAAATAGCAACAAGTTCCGCACAGGAACATGTCGCAATTTCAAGTGAAACCATATGTTATTTGCTTATTTGTTGAGTTAGGATGTGTTCCTACACATTTCTCAGGATGAATCAGTAATACACTCCTATGCTATGAAGTTAATTACGATAGCTGTCATCGTAGTAATTCACAGGAAGTGTAGTGTATCTGTAACAACTTCCTTTAGTTGCACACGATTTTGCTACAAGAACAGATGACGAAACTGCGTGTCGGAGAGGAGGAAAGCGATGCAGCGCCTTGTTCATGCTGAAAATTTGACAACAGACTTCTAAAACTAAAAATAATACAACCTAGATTCCATTTTGTGGTTGTACTGAAAAGTTAATTTTATACCATCAAAAGTACCAAGGTATACTCTAAAATGATATCAAAGTGACGAGAGATAATGGCAAGACCAAGAGTCATTCTGAAATTAAGAACAGCGACTTCTAAAGGTCACTTTAATTTCCCTTACTAACTAGTTCCTGTTTATTTGCGCATTCAGTTTTAAGACGAACCTCTAGAGGTATAGATAAAACCGTGTCAGTGCCTACGCAGCAAATTTTGTGGGGCGAAGAGAGGCGGGGAGGGTGGGTTAAACACAGATGCCTAAGCGGCGTGGCTTTAACTACGGGTTCGAGGGGCATGCTCCCAGAAGATGTCTTCGAAAAGGGCATAAAATGTATTTACAATAACAAACGTAGCGTGAAACAGTCATAAATTGTTTCTTTTGTGTGTGTGTGTGTGTGTGTGTGTGTAAGCATTTATTATCCGGTCTTTAAAGGAATGGCTGCCAATGATACCTTGCAGTCTACAACAGCTGACCCTGACATGTCTGAAAGGGATTTTTTTTTTTTGTCTAAAATCAAAATAATTTCTAACTTAGCACAAGTAAGAAGACCAGGCGTATAAGAGAGGGCATCTCATTTATTGATGCAGACTTAACCCTGTAAAACGACACTACTATACCGAAACAAGTATCAGCCATGGCACAAAATTTTCTAAAAAGTAAATCAAAGTTTCGAGATTGACTTGGTCAGGGATCAAAAACGGAGATGCCGTCGATTAACACCTAACAGACAAACTCCTTTTAGAAATATTCAATTTCGTAGCATGATTATGTAACCTGCATATCAAGAGTATCTACCGCAGTACCAACACACAGCTGTCTTACAATAAGAACGTAAGAAATATATGTTATGTCGCTTTACGCCGCTCTCCTGCGCGCGCAGCTGATGAGAACAAAGCAAGCTGATATCGGTAAATGAGAACATTAATGTTTGTCTTCTCCACCGAAAAAGATGTTTGAAGCGAAAATATTTATTCTGAAAGGAAATTGCTTCTCTAGTTAGTCGAAAATTTCAATCCCGGTTTCCTTTCAAGAATCGATACTTTTCGGCTTTGCGGAGTTGTTTGAAAGTAAGCAGCTTGTTACGTTGTTCTTTTGCTGCTCTTGTTGTTCCTAAGGATCTTATAACCCTTTTTTTTTCTAATAGAGCAGCTTAACGAGAGATTCAAGGACTTACCTTACAGAAAATATCCGAGCGTTGATTTTGATATAGATTGCTCGTCGCTGTTTTCAGCCTGATCTCCAGCCGGACTGAGGGTGATTTATTCCTCACAAAACTTGCTTGACAGTGAAACGGTTAACTGTAAAAATGCGATCATTTATACTTTTTTGATTTCCGTCTTGGGTGAGACAAGAACTGAAGCTACGAGCACGGAACGAAACTTTTTGAGCCCGGGATCGTTGAGAGGGAATAAGATAAAAAGACAAGACGCGCTGATACTCAATTTCCGCTGGCAATTACTTAGGTTTTTTCACGTACTGTTAACTTTCAGTTTTTGACCACGTACAAAATTACCTTTAAATTGAAAGAGACCTGGAAATGGTAGTTTACTGAGATAAAAAAGCACCAAACAGATAATAATAAACCATAAAGGAACAAGAATGGTTATTAAAGGATGGAGAAGACTAACATGGATTACAATGCATGAATTCGGAAATATTCAGGCTAAGCTTTTTAGGATGCACAAAACCTAAAGTAGCCCTTGATAACTCGTAGTTTTAGGCCATTCGCTAAATCGCCAGATAGAGAGTATAGAAGTTACCATAGTCAGTTCGAGTAAACACATTCTACCGTACGAGCTATTTTCAAATAGCACTTTGTAGTCCATACTGAAATTATGAATTGTCGCATATCAAGACACACTGCACCCGGATCGCACTAGAGCCAATTTTGTTTGTGTAAGTAATAAATCTGTCAGTAAGTAGCGCAAAATAAGTGCCACCCCCAGTTTCAAAAACTTGCCGGCCAAATTTTTGCGGATTGCCAAAATTTTGCCAATCTTCAAAGAAACCGAAGAGCTGCCTCGGAGGCTTCATAATTTTGGCAAAGCAAACAATTTTGTTGTTGTTTTTTTTAAACCATTTGACTGTCATATTTTTTAAAACAAGTCTGGATAAAATTATGACGAGAAAACAACTTTGACGGCTCGTCCAGTTTGGCGCGTGCGATGGCACGACAAAATCATATTTTACCCGGTCCATCTGACGCTTTTTACAAGTTATTTCAATGCAAGCGAGAAATGTGAGCGGCGCTTTTATACAAATTCTTATGACCCATACCCTAGAGCCGGTTACTGTCAGCACTTTGAAGAGATGGTTTCAGCGAGACAATCTTCTTCTAGCGCAAGTGGCGCAAGCAACAACACAAACGCAAACCGAGCAAAATCTGCTCGTCCAATTATGGACCGAAAATCACGAGTTGCTGTAGAGCGGAGAGTCAAGAACATGCAGCGTGGAGAAAAATCTGCTCTTGCACGGAATCTAAAAAAATACTTAATTGAGACATTATAGATCTTGTGACGTATATTTCAATCAGTAACGTTTTGGTTCCAACATGTTGGTCTAATGCGACCACTGCCAAAAATTTGGTACTTGCGAATTGTTGCCAATTTTTTTCCTCGCCAAAAATTGGAAATATTTGAATTCGCTCTAGTGCGACCCGGCCCTATGGTCAAAATTCATAAAGATTCAATGTTTAAAAGTTGGGCAATTATAAAAATTCGCTGCACTGCACAATGTGGAAAGTTAAAAGTTACGAGACAAAGTGGTAGGCTAAAAGCAAAGGGAAAATCTCTCGAGAAATAGGAAAACAACTACTGCAGATTATATACCGTAAATCAAATTCAATCAGATCCGACTTCCGTGCAAACTGTAGGTGGTCCCCTTCCCATAGTAGATGATATTTTAGGCGACTCGATGATTGCATATTTCACAGATCTTCTGCTATTTCTGACTGACACCCTCCGGTCATCTATTTTAAGCATACTGGCACGGTGATTTCAAGAAGCTCGTAAACATCCAAAGAATATTTGTGCTGGACATACAGTGCGCAATTCGACCTAATTGCATAGCAAGGATGCTTGGGAAGAAGGCAGTGAAAGCCGAGCTAGGAAAGCCATTGGCGTTGCGACATAAAATTCGGTATTAAGAAATTGCCCCGTAGAAAACGTTTTATATGTATGTTCGATGTACGGACATATCCTTGCTATTCCAGTTTACAACAAATTCCCGGTGACCAGCCCCCTTACTTAGGATAACTGATGTTGCGTTCGCGTGGACGATTTGACGAAATGAAGGGTTGCTCGCATTCAACCTTTCAAGCCGTTCTAATTTGCTAAAAAAAAAAACCTGGACTGCGCTATTCCGCTTTCAAAACAACAAATGACTAAATAAAATAAGAGGGATCGCTATTCTTTCTCTCAAGAGCTTGAACTGTGCGCCGGCTGCAAACAGAAGAAAGAGTGTATCTACCTTTTCGCCGGTTTGCTGTTTGTTAACCATACAGTACACTGACATTTGCTTTGAAATACAAGTTTTGGTCATGCGGCGCTTTTCTTAGTTGACTATAAAAGATATACCGTAGATTGGTTTCGCTTTCTCTAGCATCATAACTTACCTTGTAAACTACGTGGGAAGACTTAAATAACAAGCCAGCTGTTACAATTCCACTTAGCTTTCTTTTGAAATGTATCAGCTAATATGTGGGTGAGTTCGCTTTGTGTTCGTAGGGTAACGATCTCTGACGAAGAGGAGTACAGCTTCACAGTACAATGCACAATACAATAGTACTGTGTCCTCCAATTACATTCAAGTCCAGGCAATGCCTGTGGTTTTCCACGGATTTTCATGTCGGCCTGTCTTTAATCATATGGGATTAACTGGCAGCTGACAAACACTCCGAGCTCGTTCTTTTTATAAACCAAAACCTGGCCAATGGCCAGAAACACAAATTTATTTTGATTTATGCCTGCAATCCCGGAAGGGGGGAGGGGGGGGGGTACGCCCCAGAAAAATTTGGTGCGGGTGTGCTCCCCGCTTCCGAAAACCCTTGCCCTCTTTATGACCAAAGTCTACTATTTTCCCTACCCTATTTATGACCAGACCAAAAATTCGAGACCCTTTGATCGACCGTTGCGGCTGACACAGTTGCCCTAAACATAATTTTTGAAGGGCTTTTGTTTATACTCTTATAAGATAATGATGAAAAGTAGCTTTTTTAAAAAAAAGATACCCAATTCAAGACTAGAGTACAAAACCATACCCTATTTATTACCAAAATGGCCAAAATCGATCCCCTCAGTTAATGACCTAAACGGCTGAAAACCGTACCTTTGGGGCCGCACAGTATATAGTCCATATAAGGGAGCACTTCCCCCGGTCCTGCAATTTACATTAGTCTGTTGTAAAAAAATTTGCCTGGTATGTTTCTTAACCGGCTTCCTCGAAACTGACAAAGAGATGTTCTAAGCGTTCCGTTAGTCGAGGGGCGACATGGAGTAGCGATAAAAACCCACGCTTGAATGCTAGTGGATCACGAGCAATAAAACTAATATAGACCAGATCGTATTGTTTTTACAGCGCAGACTAATTCTTCCCGGAGAGTAAAGACAGATGAAAACAAGATACAACAACACTGAAAAAGAATGCCTCAGTATAACTTATTTCATTGTTTTCTGTCGAATTTCTAGCTTCTTTTTTTTTTTTAGACGGGATCAATAACCATGTTTAATATTATCTGATAATTCACGGTGATATGATATTTCAAATAAATGCCTGATCATGATAAACAATTAATAACAGGAAGGCTGGTGCTGTATATAGAAAACCAAATTATCGGATAAATCCGTGGTACTTCTCCACTGTGGCCGAGTTGTTTTAGCTTTTGGCATGGTGTATTTAATTTAAAACTGGTTGCTATTTTAGTAAGCGATGAAAACGATAAATCGCAGAGTAACTGGACAATATTTTTAGTACACGAACACGTGACCGGTCTCAGAAAAAGAAAATAGAGCATTACTTTATCACGGCTTGTTACACATGACTTGTTATCACTTCGAGTAATTAAGAAAGTCTGATTATCACTCCCCGCTGGCAGGGAACGCCTTTCCGGGTTGAGCTCCCAAAATGAAGAGAAACGAGAAAATCTCAATTTTCGCTTGGCTCTTTTTCTAGTGCTGCAGCTTAAAAGTAAAAAATAATATAAATGATTTTATTACAGAATGTTAAACAGATACTCGAAAAGATAAATTTAAATTAAGGTACCGAAATAAGCCGGTCTAGTATTACGACAATTGCAACCGGACCTGAAAACGGCACTCTCGTGTGCTATCAAAACTGCATCAAACGGTATCTTGTGGGACTTTTTTCGCGGGAGTGCGGTGGGCGGCGAAACGACTGCTGGAGAAGCCGTGGGTGCTGCTTTGCTTTCGGCAGCGAAACCGCCAAGTCCAGGGAAGGTGCGACGGGATCAATATCAACTTAACTACTACCCATTCTCCTCGCGGCCTCGCAGCTCTCGCGCCGAAACGTGGTAGGCAAAAAAATATGCCTGACATTGAGCTCATATTCAATGAACTGATTCCATGGATTGAGTCATGAGACAACAAGTCAAATGTTAGGCCTGTACAAGATTTCACACGTTGTCAACTATTATGACAATTGGTAATCGTAACCCTATGGAATGCGGATGGACTGTTCCAGTGGCCACTTGTAATTAAGACTTCCTCTTTATACTCAATACGGCAGAACAATCGAAGACTAGCCGATTACAAAGAGGATTTATTCTGATCTTAAGAGTTGATCTACAGACGAACGTTGATACCGACCTCTCTCTCTCCACTTAAATTAATTGTGCTTTCCGTCCAAAAAGGCGATACATGCATGTGTACTGATGTGTAAGAGCAGTTGACTTTTTCTTCAGCGGACCTTTAACGAGTAGCTCAGCAATTCGGGATTATATTTTTACTGACAAGTTAACGTTATTATAAAACTTCCGTCCCAACGCTATTTTCAGCATAGTATCTGGTCTTCTTTATTTTGGCCTTACAAGTGTGAAATTTATGCGATTTCCGAATAGCTTTGGGTTCGGGTTCCAACTTCGAAAGATCGCTATAGTTACTGCGGGACCATCTTAGAAATCCGGTCATTAATGGATGATCGCTTAGATGAACGGATGTGGTAATCACAGCGGACTAATGATCACGTGTGGCGCAGGAGTTGTTCGTTTTCGACCCGTCGAGAAGAAATTTGCCCTTCGCACTGCTACCGGTTGTTGAAAATGAGGAAAATACATCCAAGTAACTTAAAACTGTAGGCGCGGGTAGGGTCGGTTTAGCACGCGTTTCAAATGAGTACGTTCTTAGATGACTTAGATGACTTAACAAACTAGGCACATGCGTCAACTGCATGATGAAGCTCGATTCTCAGTCACTGTCTAATAATAGACCGCTAACAGAACTCTTCATTCTCGGAAAGCATATGTACATGTTCTGGAGGGGGAATAACGTTTATGATGATAATCTTCAACCAAACAACTAGCTATAGGGCTTCGAAACTCTTATTCAATTTTTAGACAGTAAAAAGTGTACAAAGAAAAGAAGGGATTATTGGTGTCAAAACACTTTCGTAAACCAACAGATAAGGCTACTTACAGTTTACTACGTTTACGCCACCGCTGTGCTATTGCGCAAACCGGTTTCGAAGCGGAAAGACGTAAGAAAGAGAGGCAAGTGTCCCATCTCGGAATCGGTCGATAATCGTGCAATATAAAGAGTCTGACAACAACAGAACACTCACAATGTAGCGCGCAAGGTAATGTAGCGCGCAATGTAGTTATAGTAACGTTCGTTTCTTTTATATACAACCGTTCCATCAACAAGTGCACATTGAAAAACATGCAGCTGATTGCGCAACAGTCAGGATTTTCCGTACTTCTAATTCGCACGGATGACCTATAAACAAAAATCCGGGAATCACTTCGTAAAACGACTTATTCATTCTTATGCATGGTGATCGACTCGATTTCGATTCGTATGAAATCTTGTGCCACAGTGTGTATGTGATATCTTTTGATGCGCACTGTATGTTCCGGAGCCGCCCTTTGCTGATCACGAATGCGGACCCTTCAGCGATCCAAAAGACAGTATAAACGGGAAAAAAATTTTTTGACAAGATAATAATAAGAATAAAATATATCTCGGTCGAGTCGTGGCCACAAAGCAGAAATGTTTACTTTTACTTACCTTTCTTAGTAGCTTGGAGAAACTGGTTCTTCGTTTCTTCTTCCGCTGCTCGACGTGCTGATTCTTCTGTGTTGGCCCTCGAAAAGACAGCTTACATTTGCTTGACGTAGTGGAGAAAAAGTTCTTGAATGATGTAGTTCCTGTAAAGTTATCTGGTCCTGTATGGTGACGTATCGCTAGGCGACAGATAAATTCTGTAAATAATGAGGACAATCACCACTGATATTGTTAGGTGTAATATCAACCCCTTTATTTTCAAAGCACCGGCTTTAAACACGCGAATCCGATTGGCTACAATTAACCTCGATTGTTTTTATACTCTCAATTAATTGAATAGCTAATGTCCTTAATTACACTCTTTTCCGGGTTCTTTGACACCGGCCTTTGTTAGGAAATGCATGCACGAAAGCATCGTGTTCCTAACAGAGACCAAGTGACACCTCTATGGCTAGATATGTTTCATGGAAAGGGCAATATTACTCATCAAGAAACAGAAAGCTGTAAACAGTAATTGAATGAGGCATCGTATTCAGAGCTGGATATCCTGTGGTATGATCAGAGGCTTTGCACGTGAGTGTTCAAAGTGCGCTCTCTATTTCCGGGGTTCCTTCTTTGAGGCCTAAATCCTGGATTAATCTCTTTATGATGTTGTTAAATGACTTAATCTTTATCACAATGGTTACAAAGAAACTAAAGCCACACGTAAACTGGGCTTTAACAAAATACAGAGAAGCCCCAACAAACAAAACAAATTAAGAACTATCTCATGCCGCAAAATGTGGCATTTCTTTCAGACGACGTTCTCGCGCAACCCTCCTGGGAAGACCTGGGAACGAGTAATTGAACTTTATGTCACCAGTCTACCTCGACCACTGGAAGTACAAATGGCTTTTCACGCTCGACGCGTGGCAAAGTGCGTCGGAGTGAACTTCGACCAAGTCGCTCAAGGAGGTCCTGTTCTTTGTCTTCTTGCTACATTTCGACGTCCTTTCTGTTTTAATAGTGGTACAATGAACTTAGCTGATTTGAGCGACGCTTACAGCGACACATTGCAATACGTCCAGCCAAATCTCTTTCGGAATTATGGAGGAAAGTCGAAATTTGGGGGAGTGATATCAACTGTAAAGTGCCACGAGGACAATTTGCTTGTCAAGCAAACTCTGAACGAGCCAGGGAACAAACGGGTAAGAACAAAGGGTTCTTAAAAACATTCTCGAAAACATTCTCGAAAGTCATGCAGACCCGACTGCCTCTCGGGTGTGCATAACTTTCGAGAATTCTCCCAACCCCACGAGTGTTTAGATGACGCTATTTAACACTAGGTAAACACGGAAAAAAGTCCTCTTGCTGTTATAAAATATTTCTCAAAACGGGGGGTTACATACTCTCATCCACCAACGAAAGCGCGCGTATTACCTTAAATATCTTATAACAGTTTATAGATGTTACGTTACAACGGTAGGAACCTCTTCTTGGACTCTTGACCTCAAGGCCGGCGGTGTAAGTTTAAAGTTGTGCTACAAGAGGAACACTTTTACTTAAACACTCGCTGTATCTTTTCTCCAGTTCATAAACCTTCACTTAACCTCAGAGTGCCCGCTACAAAAGCACAAATTTTCACAGGAAACATTAAGCTTTTCCTTTTTGTCATGGGTATTGACTATAGAATCTAATGACATTGTAGAATTATTCAGATCATTAGATCAGGAGTCAGCATGCCACTTTTCACAGAAAAAAAAATAAACAACTGGTTTTGCCCCATGGCAAGTTCGCCCACACTGAGTTTCCCCCACTATAAAATTTCTATTTTGGGTTCATCCCCACCTTTATCAAGTTTGCCCCAACTTTTCGATGCAGCAATAGAGAAAAATTTTAGTCTCTTTGTGTTGATGAGTACACGCACATAACGTTTACATTGTCGCGAATGAACTGCATTAAAAACTTTTTTATTAAACGTTTCCGTAGTTGATATCGAGTTATTAAACATTTTCGAAGATGAAGAACCATTTCAGTCTGAATGTTTGACAAGCTTAGTTGATGATTGTTGGCTTGTTGCAGTTGGTGCATAGCAACGAAGTCAAACAAAACCCACTGATCAATCGGTAGACCTTGATAGATGAATGATGCTTAAAAGAATGAACTGTGTTAAAACTTCTTATTGAACTACATTTAAAACGTTTTATTGCGGCAAGTATGAATAAAAGTTAGCTCGAGGTCTCATGTTCAAAGTGTGAGTTGGCTTCATTCGCAAGTCTTAGTAAGTCGAGTCAGCGGCTGGCCAATTATGTTACATGCTTGACTTGAACATGCTAATTAATGTCCATTCACATTTCAAGAATTCAAGTTTGAAAAGAATTCAAGATTGAATTTAAGAATTCAAGATCGAACGAATACTGACATGAGAGTGAACACGATCTCATTGGGGGCAAACTCAATAATACGGTGGCCCACAACTGTCACAACAGAAACAAATTGCTCACATCAAAAACAAATTGTTCACATCAAAAACAAATTGCTCACATCAAAAACAAATTGCTCACATCAAAAACAAATTGCTCACATCAAAAACAAATTGCTCACATCAAATTCAAATTGCTCACATCAAANCTTTTGAACAGAGGTATCGCGCCCAATTTTCCTCGAAAATTTGATTATAGAACTAGGGACCGTATGTACCTTTTTCTAATCGTATTTTCACAATCCTCCCCTTGCAGATATAAATTCAGTCTCTTACGAACCTTTTGCGTACAACTCAGAGGGCGCACTACAGTATACATGTGATAAAGTGACAGTTAGATTCCCCCACAAATGCCACGAAGAAATAGAATCCCATTTGAACACAGCGAAAGGATAATCAGGGCCTAAATGTGGACAATGTATCGTTTCATGCAAACATATTTGCCACGATGCCTCAATAGTGAGGCAATTGAGGGATAAATTGTCCAGCAAATTTGATATTCTCTCTTCCAAAAATAAATGTTATTACAGCTGTAATATTTGTCTCACCGCACTTACGATTGTCACCCTCATGGATATGGTTGTATAATAATGCAATTGATTGTGAGTGCTCATACAAATTCTGTTATTGAAAGTCTCTTGTGGAAAAAGGGTTGTCCAAAAGTGTACATGATTTCCTTTTGTGACAACGAATTCTTTTTTGACAAAAATGAAAATACATTTACAGCCAATTAATGTCAAAGGAAGGTATTGTTTATCTTTTGATGATTTTGAATGTTAATACATATGCAAGTGTTATCCTTGAACGTTCCTTACGCGCAAATGAAGGTCAGATTGGTGTTAATGAGAGTATATTGACCATAATGAAACAAGTTTAGACTCGAATGAATATTTTCTGTAAATGAACAGCAAAAGGTGTATATGTGACACATGGATTTTGTTGAAATTCTTGTGTGAAATGGGATTGCAACCCCTGCAATTAG